CATAGCTTCTTCAGCTTCAGAGGTCTGGTTGTATCAGGGTAGGTCCATGTGGCTTCTCCAGCACAGGGTATTAGCATAGTTCCATGTGTTTTGTCAGTTGGAACATCTCCCAGGGAGTAAGCCAAGAGAGATAGTGTCTCCTGCCTCCAAGAAAGAATATGGGATTTTCCAGAATGCTCAGGAGAAGGCCATGCTCACACAGATGCTTCATTGGCTATGACTCGATTGACAGACTAGACCCACACCATTCACTCGTAGACTTCTCAAATTGACACCAGATTATGTAACTACCACACTAGGTTAATTCACAAATTTGATATGTTTCAATTGCTCTTCAATTAATTCTTTTAGATATATCTTTAAAGTAAAAGTACATAAATATATATGTACAATTATATATATTATATATACATCCTCAAATAGAGATTGTGTGTGTGTGTGTTTGATGAGAATGCTAGCCAGACAATCTTTACATTGGTTCAAAATCTTGTTAATAGTAAATCTTTGCATATCATTTATAAACTTATATTTTAATGGTCAATCGGGCCTAATAAACCTGACATTACTGAATGCCAAGTGTGAGGGTAGTTGTCTAAGAGCTTGTATTCCGAGTATACATTTGGAGGAGGCTATGGATGAGAGTGAAAAACCACAATTCATTTGCAGAGTCTCCACATAGATTATGACTCACTGAATTTCTTCTGATTCTTAACCAAGGAAGTAGATACTCTTACACTCAGGTAGAATACATTAGAAAGTGGATTACCTCCACCCGTCTCTAGCCAGCCCAGAGAGAGGCAGTCTCTAGCGGCTTGCCTGGGTGTTTCTTTGATGGACAGTAGTGGAGGTTGCATAGTCACAATTCTCACAACTGGAACAATAAACAACATTGTGATAAATGGAGAAAATACTGAAGTTGCCAAGTATGCCATTTTACTCAGATCTACAATCAACATTCACGGAAGCAGCAGGTAAGAAAGTAAAGGGCATATTTCATTCTGTAAGACTGCTGCACAAGGCTTCTTTAAAGCGTTAATGGGTAAAGGTGTCAGTTTGAATACTAAGGTGAACCTGAAATCTAAATAATATTTTCAATCAATTAGTATGCATGTGAAAAATTGGCAATGAATAAGGAACTCTGGAGAAGAAATGATGCATTTGAAATATGGTGAGGATAAAGAATATGGAAAGTACCATGGACTGACAGCACAACCAAACCTGTCTTGAAGGAAGTACCACCAGAATGCCCCTAGAAGAGAAAATAGTAAGGCTTCATGTCACCTCCTTTGGACTTCTTATCTCAGAGACTAGTTCTTAACTAGTTCTTGATCAGCATAAAAGATCCTCCAGTTCAGGGACTGCACCAGTGAGCTTAAGCCTGACAACAATTTTAAGAATGGCACAAGACTAAGCAGTGTTTAATTCTTCTAGAATTGTTAGCCTATATCCTTATGGGGAAACAACTTCACCAACTATCACATAATTCTTATGTTCAGTTTCCTTTGTCTTTAGTTTTACAACATTCATCTCTAACATTACTTCGACAACTTTCCTCCATTCCCTTCAGTGAAGTCATATCACACATTTCTGACACAATCAGATTATATTGTCATGATTTAATTCCACTCCATCATCTTTTGATGGGTAGTTTTTCTTATTTTCATACATTAAAGTTTAAGTGAGCTCTAGTGGAACACTGGGATAAACATGGATCTACCTTCAAGGTCTGAAGATCCAACCAACCAGCTGATCAAGAGAAAGATGAGGCTATCTGCTCCGATAGAAATGCACCGTCTTGGAACTATAGGGTCACTGTGAGCCAGAGGTAGTATGTATTCAATAATTAGTGGTATGGAAGAGAGAAGTTTAAGGTCCTCTAAAGGCATTGATCAAAAGCAAGGCATTGATGGAATACCAATCGAAATGCCCAATAAGCTGATGTACTGGATGTACACACTCAATCATGTCAAGAAATTTGGAAGACAGTTACCTGCTCAACTAACTGACTGTAAGACATCCATACTTGTACCCATTCCAGAGAAAGATGATGAAACAGAATATGCAAATCATAGAAAAATATCATTAATATCATATGCAAG